ACTGATGGGTACTTGAGCTGTTAGCAGATCTTGGCTATTTTAAATTGTGCTGCTATGAACCTAGGGGTGCATACATTCTTTCTGGTTGGTGCTTCGGATTTCTTAGGATATATTTCTAGAAGTGGGATCACTGGGTCAAATGGCAGATTCATATTTAATTTTTTGAGGAAACTCCATACTGTTTTCCATAATAGTTGCACCAATCTGCATTCCCACCAGCAGTGTACTAGGGTTCCCTTTTCTCTATATCCAGCACTTGTCATTTGGTGATTTATTGATGGTAGCCATTCTGACAGTTGTGAGATGGTACCTAATTATTTTGATTTGCATCTCTCGGATGATTAGTGACTTTGAGCATTTTTTCATATGTCTCTTGGCCATCTGTATGTCCTCTTGGAGAAGTATCTATTTAGGTTCTTTGCCCATTTTTTAAACTGGATTGTTTGTCTTCCTTTTGTTAAGTTGTATGACTTCCTTATATATTTTGGATATTAACCCTTTATCAGATGTATCATTGCCAAATATGTTCTCCCATACAGTGGGCTTTCTTTTTGTTTTGTTGATGGTTCCTTTTGCTGTGCAGAAACGTTTTATTTTGATGTACTCCCATTTGTTTATTTTCTCCTTAGTTTCCTTTGCCTTAGGAGATGTATCTGTAAACCTATTGCTATAAGAGATGTCTTAGATTTTGCTGCCTTTGGTTTCTTCTAGGATTTTTATGAGTTCATGACTTACATTTAAGTCTTTTATCCATTTTGAGTTTATTCTTGTGTATGGTGTAAGTTGGTGGTTTAGTTTCATTTTTTTGTAAATATCTGTCCAATTTTTTCACTACCATTTATTGAAAAGACTCTCTTGACTCCATTGTATGCTCTTGCCTCTTTTGTTAAATATTAATTGAGCATAATGGCTTGGGTAAATTTCTGGGTTCCCTGTTCTATTCCATTGATCTATATGCCTGTTCTTGTGCCAGTACCAGGCTGTTTTGATTACCGTGGCTTTGTAGTATAACTTGAAATCTGGTATTGTGATTCCTCCAACTTTTTCTTCTCAAAATTGCTGCAGCTATTTGGGGTCTTTGTCGATTACATATAAATTTTTGAAGTATTCTAGCTCTTTGAAATATGCCATTGGTATTTTAATAGGGATTGCATTGAATCTGTAGATTGCCTTGGGTAGTATGGACATTTTAATGATTTGATTCTACCAAGTTATGAACACAGTATATTCTTCCGCTTGTTTATATCTTCTATCACTTTTTTCAATGTCCTGTAGTTTTCTGAGTACAGGTCTTTTGCCTCCTTGGTTAAGTTTATTCCTAAGTATCTTATTTTTGTTGTTGTTGTTGCAATGGTAAATGGGATTGTTTAGTTTCTCTTTCTGAGAATTCATTATTGGTGTATAATAAAGCCATCGATTTTTTAGTGTTGATTTTGTATCCTGCTACATTGCCAAATTCATTTATTAAATCTAGTAGTTTTTTGGAGGAGACTTTAGTGGTTTTCTATGTACAATATCATGTTATCTGCGAATAATGAGAGTTTTACTTCCTCCTTTCCATTTTGGATGCCTTTTATTTCCCCTTGTCTGATCACTGTGGCTAGGACTTCCAGTACTATGTTGAATAAGAGTGGTGAAAACGGACATCCCTGTCTTGTTCCTGTTCTTAGGGGAAATGCTTTTAGTTTTTGCCCATTGAGTATAATGTTGGCTGTAGGTTTGTCATATATGGTTTGTCATGTAGGTTTGTCATATATCATGTTGAGATATGCTCCCCCTATTCCCACTTTGCTGAGATTTTTTATCAAAAATGGGCATTGGATTTTGTCGAATGTTTTTTCTGTATCTATCGATATGATCATGTGATTTTGGTCTTTTAATTTGTTTTTGTGATGTATCATGTTTATTGATTTGTGAATATTGTACCAGCCTTGCATCCTTGGAATAAATCCCACTTGGTCATATGTATGATCTTTTTAACATATTTCTGGATGTGATTTGCTAACATTTTGTTGAAGATTGTAGCATCTATGTTCATCAGGGATATTGGCTTGTAATTCTTTCTTTGTAGTGTCTTTATCTGATTTTGGAATTAGGATAATGCTGGCCTCATAAAAAGAGTTTGGAAGTGTTCCTTTCTCTTGGATTTTCTGAAATAGTTTGAGGAGTATAGGTGTTTGTTCTTTTTTAATGTTTGGTAAAACTCCCCTGTGAGGCCATCCGGACCTGGGCTTTTGTTTGCTGAGAGTTTTTTGATTACTGCTTCTATTTCATCAGTTGTTATTGGACTATTCAGGTTTTCTGATTTCTCCTGATTAAGTTTTGGGAGATTATATTTCTCTAGGAATTTGTCCATTTCATCCACATTGTCCAGCTTGTTGGCATATAGTTGTTCATAGCATTTTCTTACTATCCTTTGTATTTCTGTGGTGTTGGCGGATACTTCTCCACTTTTGTTTCTGATTTTATTTATTTGGGTCCTCTTTCTCTGTTTCTTGGTGAGTCTGGCTAATGGTTTATCAATTTTGTTTATCCTTTCAAAGAACCAGCTCTTGGTTTCATTGATTTTTTTTTTTTGGTGTTATTTCTTTAGTCTCTATTTTCTTATCTCTGCTCTAGTTTTTATTTCCTTCCTTCTACTTTGGGCTTTTCTTGTTCTCTTTCTAGTTCTTTAAGCTGTAGGGTTAAATAGTTCATTGCTGATTTTTCTTGTTTTTTTGAGGTATACCTGTAGTGCTATGAGCTTCCCTCTTGGGACTGCTTTTGCTGTGTCCCAGAGATTTGGGGTTATTGTGCATGCATTTTCATTCATTTCCAGAAAGTTTTTTTATTTCTTTCTTGATCTTGTTGGTAACCCATTCATTGTTTAATAACATGCTATTTAGCCTCCATATGTTTGAATGTTTTTGGGTGGTTTTACTGTAGTTGATTTCTGTGATCTGAAAAGATGCTTGTAATGATTTCAGTCTTCTTGAACTTGTAGAGACTTGTTTGGTGTCCTAACATGTGGGCTATCTTTGTGAATGATCCATGTGCACTTAAGAAGAATGTATATTCTGCTGCTTTGGGGTGAAATGTTCTATAAATATCAATTAAATTTATCTGATCCAGTGTGTCCTTTAAGAGTCTCTGTTTCCTTGTTAAGTTTTTGTTTGAAAGATCTATCCAGTGAAGTCAGCGAGGTGTTAAAATCCCCTACTATGACTGTATTATTGTCGATTTCTCAGTTAAAGTCCTCTAGAAGTTTTTTGTATATATTTAGGTGTTCCTATATTAGGTGCATATATGTTTACCAGGGTTATATCCTCTTGTTGGATGGATCCCTTTAGTATTGTGTAGTGACCTTTGTTGTCTATTGTGATGGACTTCATTTTAAAGTCTATTTTGTCAGATATGAGTATATCGTTATCCAGCTTTTTTTTCTTTTCCATTTGCATGGAAAATTCTTTCCATCCCTTCACTCTCATCCTGTGTGTATATTTTGTTCTGAGGTGGGGTGGGTCTCCTGTAAACAGCATTTAGTTGGGTCATGTTTTTATATTCATTCAGCTCACGAGACTCCTTGTACAGTGGGCTGAGGGGAAAACTCGGAGGAGGGCAGCTTCAGGGTTTGGGTTTGAGGAGCTGAGTCAGTCCAAAGAAAAGAGTATGCTAGAGAGGGATCAAGGTTTCTGCTTTTGACACAATTCATTGGAGAAAAGTATTAGCTATTTAAGTAGATCAATAGAGTGGCCAGTTGTTTGAAATCATTGATGAAACATTGAGGTACTGGACAGGGGGGTCACTTACATGATGGTGATGCTTGACAATGTCCTGGTCAACAGTGTGACTCAACTATGCTATCTTTATGTCACAAACATACTCAAAATGATGCCATTCCACTCTTTAGAATGTGATAGGGAGTGAAATTATAAATATTTATGTTGCACATATTTTACATCATTAACATGAAATATGGGCATTGTAATGTAATATACTTATTGTTGCAGTCCTTTGGAATTTTAATGGAGAATGATTGGTCATGAAATGTTTTTGTAAAAACATTACATTATAATTGGTTAGTGCAAATATTGTGCATTTTAAAATTTATGTGAGCAACATGAATTCATTTATTTAGTGCACGAAAGTGAACAGTATCAATGACCACAGTGGTCACAATATTAGGGCCCCATTGTTGTTAAATTTTGGCAGCTTGGCAAGTTATAGCATTGTCATATTGTTAATTTAAAGAAGTACTACAATGTAGTATTGGTATTCCTATAAATATTGGAATCATTTTAGTATTAAGTAGTATGATCACATCAATTTTTCTAAAATATCAAAGGCATAATGTGTTTTTTAAAAAGGATTTAAGGGGTGTTTTCCACATGGCTTTTAGATGTCTGTCCTACAAAGCAAGGCATCTCGATCCTACCTAGGCACGGAAATTATTTCACTTTATTTGGTAACCGTGATACAATGGAATCTGTTTTCTTTGGTCCAGGATGCAGGGTTTTAGGAATGCTTACAGGTCTGGGTAGTTTCACATCTTGTAATATTTGAGATCTAATTTCATCTCTTGTTTATGGGAAAAGCCAGAAGCCAAATGCTCAAGCAATAAGCTTGGGAGTCATTTGTAGTCATTGTTCCTTTCCTTCTTCAAGCCTTCTCACAATGAATTCCTAGGATTTATGACTTCTTTATTCCCAATGCCAAATAGTTCAAAACTTGCATATTATGGGAGCATGTGTTCTCATCCATATTATGATTTCTATTGAAGTTCAGTTCAATAAAATTCAGGATTCTATGTCATAAATTTTCCCATGTAGATGATATTTTTATTTCCTTCTGTAAATATTTTTATAACCGAGATTGGAGCATCAAAACAATTGTTAAATATTTGCCTAGAATCTGCTTTAGAGCAAAGTCTCTGCCAACAACCACCCCTTTCCTGGTGTCTGGAATGGGGAACTTTTTCATCCACTCGGCGATAGAGTGCTGATAAAACCCAAGCAAGGAGGTTATGATTTTAATATACTTTATTTAAAAAGTACACAGTTTTAAATTGGTTTCGATGGGTTTCAAGCAGAAGGGACACTGCCTACTGGCAGCCCCGTTTCTGATGAAGGGTGGCAAACTCACATTTACATGACTGGCAAAGTAAAAAGATAACATTTTTGTCCACATGTCTTTAAGAGTTTATATCACGCACAGTTTAAAATCATGAGATGCTGATGGTTGGACTATATTTCATGTCTCCTATGTCGCACCATATTTTGGTTCACAGTTTATCCATTATTTAGCATGCCAGGAGAACATCTCGGTCAGTGTCACCTTAAGAAGAGCAGCAGAAGCAGAGGGGACAGGATAAGGACCATCTTGGCCTGGAGGCTGGGCGCACCCCCACATTCCCTCGCGTTTTCCTGCAGAGAAAGGCAGAGCGGGTCAGAGCAGAGACAGAGTCCAGGATGCCTTCTCCCCACTCTTCAATGGTTTGAACAAAGTCTCTTGGGACCTAGATAATTCAGGGAAATTCACTCGTCTACATTTCATCAAGTTAGCGGTGTGAATCTCCGATTACAGTTGTAAATGTGTAACATATTTAAAATTACTCTTTGCATACATACTATTATGTAGACTATTTGAGGGGTAGACTATCTGTTGGGATCATATTATGAAGGCAAAACATTGGCTTTCTAATTTTTCCCCCATCAGAATGTAAGTTAAATCGCATCTAAGGGAGCTGATCATCTTTGGCTATGAAAGGTTTTGTTTCTTCTTTCTTTTCATTTGGGGGGAAGGAGGGCTCTGTTTTACAAAAATGAAATATTATTACTTTCTGCAGCGTGCTTTTTATCCAGTGACTGATGCAAGTTTCTCCAACTCCATTATTCTAACTCTATTTCATTCAGCTATTTTCCTATTGATGGGCACTCGTTTTCTCATCTGTTCTTACTGCTACAAAGAATGCTGAATGTAGGTCCTCAACAGACAGTGCTATTTGCCCCTGCCTGTGGTAGAGATGCCCAGTCTTGGAACTGCAGGCCTAACAGGTATTTTTGCCTTTCATGGCTATAGCTAGATATTTCATTGTTACCTGTATATTCAGATCACCCAGTGACTTGTATCTTTCATGTTCATGGTTTATTTTTATATGTAGTTGTTTGACTTATCAATTTAAAAGTGCTCTTTATAATTTGATTTCTAAGTACATTTTTCAAGTTCTATATAAATTGGCTACTGACTTTAAGTAATCTTTTTCCATAGAAAAGTTATTTTTACATAGTTAAATAAATCTGGTTTTCTTCCATAGCTTTGTCTCAGATAGGAAGTTCTCTACAATCCCTAGGATTTCTTGTGAGACTGTTATTTCACTACTTAAGTCTAATTTATATTCTTCCTTTTGAATTGAACCTTTGTCATACATAAGAGTTTCTATTCTGTACCATTGACCTCATCTTACTACATCCAGAAACTTACAGAAAAAAAATACAGATTTTGTATCAAGTAACCAAAGCAAATTATCTTATTAGCTCTATTAACTCTAGAAGATTTTACTCTTATGACTCTAGTTGTCTAAATATAACGTTCTGGTTTTGACTGAAGTGATTTTAGTGTTTGGGGAACTATTGTTTGTGTTTGCATTTTACATATTACATAGAGCTTTTATCATGGGTGATCATTGAATTTTATCAAAGGCTTTTCAGCATATATATGTATATAATATGTTGCTATTGAACTTGAACTCCCATTTGAATATAGAAGTAAACATTCTCAATAAATCTCAAGTTCTTATTGGTGCTATACTTTAAAATCTTTTCTAGGATTTAGATAGTTTAATAACATTAAAATCACTTGCTATTTAAAGTTGAGCTTAACACTCAGCTGGCTCTGGTGGCATTTAAAAAACTAGTTTCACAGTTTCCATATACTAATTTGTCTAGGCCCGTGGTCGGCAAACTGCAGCTTGCGAGCCACATGCGGCTCTTTGGCCCCTTGAGTGTGGCTCTTCCTAAGCCTTAGGAGTACCCTAATTAAGTTAATAACAATGTACCTACCTATATAGTTTAAGTTTAAAAAATTTGGCTCTCTTGACTAATGAGTTTTTCGACCACTGGTCTAGGCTCACTTTTCATTTTTTCAGGAGGTGTGTGAACTTAATTTAAAAAACATTTTTTTTGTTAAAGTTTTTGCTCACAGTATTGCAGGAGGTATTCTCTTACAATTTGCCTAAATCAATCGGAAGCCCACCTTTCTCAGCACTAAGCTTAGTTTTGCTCTGATCATGGCTTTCAGTGTAAAAGGAGTACCTTTATAGTCGTGCCTCCATATGGGTAGGGGTTTAGAGGCTTATCACCCCCCTCCATACACTGGGACCCTCTGTCTGGTATAAACATTGCTACTTTTGCTTCACGTAAAGTTCTTGTAAATAAAAGGCTTTCTAAACGTAAGCAGGGGGAATAATTCTCACCACAATTTGAAATAAGTGAACTAAGATGATCAGAGCCACTACTTGTGTAATAGCAGAAGGTGATAAAATGACAGCCCTTCCATGACAGAAAAGATAGGAAGGAGGCTTGTGAAGTATATCATGGGCATGAGAACAGGCTCTTGGCCCAGACTTCGAAGGCACCGAGGCTGAGAGCAGGGAGCCAGTAGCTTTCCTGTAGACGCTTCTTTAATTCGCCTGAAAGGGATGGTTTTCTCACGAGTAAACTTTTTACCTATAATGAAATTGTCGTGGCAAGTCTGCGGGGGAAAGAGAATAGGACAGGTTATCAGACTGACCTCAGGATGGAAGCCATGGCAAGATTCCGGACGCCTTCTGATCTTCTGGGCCTTTAAACGCTCACACTTAAGAGATTCGTTATGTTGACTGTAGTTAAGGCAAATTTCCAAAATGGCACTTCACCCTAATCTGCATTGGCACTGCATGTTGGCACTAAAATCCCTTGACAATTTCTTTCTCTCCAACAGTGGGAAGATATCATTTACTCCTCCCCCAGCTTTCCCGGCAGTTGACCCCTTACCAGTGTCAGCAGCAGCAGCTGGGCCTAACACGGAAGGATATACCTGATTTCGATGGGCGCCATGGTGATGGGGGCCACAGACTCGCAGAGGCAGCTGCTGTCCACCACCACCATGAACAGGTTGCTGCTTGGGATTTGCTGGATGACAAAGGACCTGGGGGAGTAAGAGGAACAGACATGGTGGGGTCACTTACCATTTCTCCTGTAGAGAGCCACGAGGAGAACTTTTCCCTGGGGGTAATTACCATATTTTAGAAAACAAGTTTCCCCAAGTTGCCTTTTCCATCGGCTCTTTACTTTCAAACACCAAGTTTCACTAAGAAGACAAGAGCCCATTGCTATAGCCATACACAGCTCATAAGACTCACGTTGGGAAGACTGAATTTTATGTGTACAAATCATCAGGGTCATATTTGGCTAATTCACCTCAATTTCCAAGGTCTAAGAGGTTAGGCTTTTCCAAGCCTGCTTTCCTTCCTAAACATTATCAAATGTTGCATTTGATGTTCTTCTAAGTCAGTGGTTCTCAACCTTCTGGCCCTTTAAATACAGTTCCTCATTTTGTGACCCAACCATAAAATTATTTTCGTTGCTACTGTTATGAATCGTAATGTAAATATCTGATATGCAGGATGGTCTTAGGTGACCCCTGTGAAAGGGTAAGTTGTTTTTCTCTCCTTTCCTCAGAGACAGACTGAAGCTGTGTCACATGGATGACAAAAGATGAAGTGAACTTCCTAAACCCTTCAAGATACCACTCTGCATGGTGTTTGGAGGAAATGAATGCTGGCCCTTTAACAAGTCCCACCCTTCTCAAGTCCACACTGTGCTGGGGCCTAACAGCTTAATGACACCTGCTTCTTCATTGCCCAACACAGCAGAATGACAAAGCAACAACACCGTAAAAACCCTCCCTTCACAAGAAATACTGATTCTTTGGAGGAACAAATTAGAGACCCAAGTCCCATATTCTTTCAGAGCCGACAGAGTAGGTAAGTATTTAACCCCAGGCCTAGAATCCCGGTCACTTAACTTTTCATGATATTTCATCCAATTCAATTTAGCAGGATGAAAGAGACTATAACCTAATAAAATGTTCAATTCCTCCATAAATTTTACTTTCATTCATCTTTCTCTCAAAAAATTGGTTCTGTTTTCTAGAGCAGCGGTCGCCAACCGGTGGTCCGCTGGTGATCTGTGAGGTCTGAAAGGTTGGCGACCGCTGTTCTAGAGTGTATCACCATGCTTTACAAAAGTCATCCCATGAAGAAGCATCTGCTGTTTTGTGGGAAATTAGAAAGAAGGGGATGGATCCCTGTTACTATCTCATATGTTGTAATATCCAAGAATGCCTACGAGATTACAACACAACCAGCTTCCTTTCTACAAATGCCCTGTGCCTGTTCATTGAACATGACACAATTGCTTATTTTTTCCCACCCATAGCAGGGAACAAGGCATGTCACTGTTCAGTGATGTTCCCCCAATGCCTAAACCACCATCCACTCTCTGCCCTTCCTGCCATTCTCCACAACTACACCTGGCTTGAGAAAAAAAATTAAACCTTGCTAACTATCTCAATAAAACTTTAAAAATATCTGCTTTACATCCCCCTTTTAGCACTAGGTGTCTTCTCACCTATGCAAAGATATCGCTTGATTGTGCCTATCAGAATTAAAATAGCCTACCTGAGATGACTCCCATCAGAGGACCAATGATTTCCATGTTGGAGGAAAGTTAACAGAGTCTCAGAATAATGCAAAACCAAGATCACACAATTCTTTAAAGGACAAATGGTTGACTTAAAAAGTAAGCCAAATGAATCGACCAGATGTGCAATAAAGGAGAAAGAGATATAAACATGAAAAAAGTTCCAAAGGGAGAGAATGTTTTCCAATTGATGAAAATTTTTTTTTCATAGAAAGGGCCCATTCTAGCATGAATGAAACTTCAAATCATTAAAGATATAGACCAATCCTAATATCTTCTCTAGAAACAAATTACTTAAAGAGGAATGAGGATGACAGCAACTTCTCCATGGGAATACTTAAAATGAAGAAAACAGAGTAACATGAAGTAAAGTGTATGTCAGGTCCAGGGGAAAATTGATTCTAGGTAACTGTAGATAATGATAGAAAATTATTTTTTAGAATTTAGGGATAATAGCTAAAAATAGCATGTTAAGTAATATACACATATACAGAAAAATTTGGCAATATTAGTCTGAAATTATTAATCACAACAAATGTGAGGTGATTAGATTCACAAAGTAAAAGGTGGAAACTCTTAAATTGTAGTAGGGGTCCATCTCCTTCTAATTTCCCACAAAACAGCAGATGCTTCTTCATAGGATGACTTTTGTAATGCAGATGAGAGATGTCAAATGACAGGAAAAGTTTTACCAGAAACATGCTAACAACACAAGAGAGGAACGGGTTAATATTATTATGCAAATATTCAGACATCATTAAAATGCAATAGTTTATACACTATGAATAATTTTTCATATTAAAATAGTGAAATAGTATAGCAAGGAATGACATGAACTTTTATGATCATAGTGTTCAAACTGATAGAAATACCAAAGTGATCAATGAATGCATGATCTACTAAAATATGGAACAAAACCTCTTGAGATCTAAATGTAGAATATATAAGTTCTTTTTATTTATTGGGGTGACATTGGTTAAGATTATTTGGGTTTCAAGTGTACGTTTCTATGATGCGTGATCTGTATATTGCATTATGTGCCCACCACCTAAAGTCAAATCATCTTCCATCACCATATATTTTCCCCCTAAGTTATTTACAAACAGTGGCAACCTCAACACATTCCAAAGTGCAGAAAGCATCACTTGCATATCCTTCTTTATGGTATGGTAAAATTATATATAGCAAAAGTATATAAGCAGTGGAAATTAAAGGTTAAAAAAACACATTCAATTAATCCTTGAGAATTTGAGAATAAACCAGACTCAGATCTGTGCAGTATAATCTTAAGTACTTCTATGGGAAAAAGAGATTTGCAAATAAATGAACTACATTTTTAAATTGAGAAGCTGGCACAATAAAAACATATGCTGCACCTGTGCCCCTCCACCTGGTCTTCCCTCTACCCTGGGCTAAGTATTGATGCCCTTCTCTAAGGCTGGTCCCAGGATACCGCAAGGATGGGACCGATAGAAGAGAGGTGATCATTGCACAAATAGTCCCCTTTGTCTACTAGCCATGCCGTCAGGTTACAAACATGCCGTCAGTATCTCCCGTCTCGGGAAAAACAAAACTTTCTCTTAACCTTACCTCTAGCTACTGCCCTGTTTCTCTGTCCTCCTTTATAGAAAAACTCCTAAAAAGAATAATCCACCATCTCCCTCTCTCTACTCTCATTTCTAATACAGCGGTTCTTAACCTGTGGGTCGCAACCCCTTTGGCGGTCGAACGACCCTTTCACAGGGGTCGCCTAAGACCATCCTGCATATCAGATATTTACATTACGATTCATAACAGTAGCAACATTACAGTTATGAAGTAGCAACGAAAATAATTTTATGGTTGGGTCACAACATGAGGAACTGTATTTAAAGGGCCAGAAGGTTGAGAACCGCTGGTCTAATAAGCCTGGAGCCCTTCCCACACCACTGAGTCAGTTCTCAACCTCCTTTCCCTCTGCCTGCTCCTTCCTTGCTGACGGCCCCTCACAACAGGCTAGTTTCTGGAGGTGGAAGGCTGCAGCTGTCTGCCCGTGGTTACCCATTATCCCCAGCACCTACAGTTGTGCCTGGGACACGGAGACTCTCAGTAAATACTTCCGGAATTAAAGACAGAATAAATTTATAAAGATAAAAGCAGGAGAATAGAATGCACATTAAAATGTGAAAATAACAAAGAACTAGACTCTGGTTTAAAAGAACATCAACATAAACCAACTTTTGGTGTTCCTGATCAAGAAGTCACAACATCATATTAAAACTCGGAAGATAGACATTTAAAACAAGTGACTATTCTGTATATTATTGCAAACAACTTGAAAACTAGAGAAAACACACCTTTGGGGGTAAAATATAAACTGTCAACATTTGGCCAAGCTATAAAAAACACAAGCAGACTCATAGCCCTAAAAAAAACTGAAATGCTCATTGAAAATCTGCCCACAAGTGAATCCTACCAAATCAACCAAAGAACAGATATTAGCATGTTCATAGAAAACCCCTGTGAACTCACTGACCAACGGTTAGAACTAGTAAGAGAACTTGGCAAACTGACCAGTTACATAATCAGAGTATAAACCACAGCCTTTCCCTGACACTGGCAGTGCCCAAAGAAAAAATATTTATGAGATAAAGAACCAATGACAATATCAATAATCACTAGGAAATGCCCAAAATTAAATCTAGTAAAAGACATCTCTTTTTGAAGAAAATGACCAAACTTTACTGCTTTACTGAACATATAAAAAACGAATAATTGGAGGGAAGTACAATGATTGTGAAAATACACACACATATATATATATAATCACTAAAAATTAGAGAATTATAGAATAAAATGCATTTTTCATAAGCAGATTGGCTAAATTTTAAGTCTGGCCTACTATCACATGGAAGAGAGTCTGCAGAAGTGATTATTTGACACTACTGGTGGGACTGTGACTTTGTACAGTCATTTGTGTTATTATAATGGAAATCATTTAGATCCTATTTTTTCTGTAGTTTTATTTCTCAGTAAGAGAAACTCTTCTCATGACCCAAAAAGGCATGTGGAAAGATGGTCTTGATAGCATTGTTCCCTGAGAGGAGGAAAAATACGAAACCTAAAGGCAAGTCCATCAATAGGGGGATGATTGCATAGCAACAGTATGTGGTTCTATGGTCTACTCAGCACCAGGTAGAGGGTAAAGGGTAAAGCAGATCTCTACTTACTATCGAGAAAGGATACCCAACACACAGTAAATAGAAAAAGGATGCTGAGAAATAACAAGGGATGGCTATTGAAGCATATGTAATTCTGTTCCAGAGAAGGAGAGAAAGAAATGGGATGGGTAAGACTGATCCGATGTTTTAGGAATAGAAAACAAACCAGTAAGCATTCCATGACCTATGTTACACACAGAAAGAATAAATGGACTGAATAATAGGACTTAAGTGAGTTGAACAC